AATTCCCCAGCCAGCCATGCTGGCTGGGGAATTCTGGGAGTTGAAGTCCACCCATCTGAAATTTGCCAAAGTTGAGAAACACTGCCATAGGTAAAGTGGATCGTGTGAACCCAGCTGAGCTGTGCTTCCCTCTCCCTTCCCAGTTGCAACAGCCAGTGTGTATGCATGCAAGGGGTTGGATAAACTGGAGGAGAAGCTTCCCATTCTGCAGCAGCCGTCTGAGAAGGTGAGTAGCCCTTTGCCACCAGCATCCTAACTTGGTTAGGAATCTTGGTTTTGCTTGAGTCACATCACAGAGTCAGTCTACCGCCTAGCAGCTGATTGATCTCTCTGTGGTCCCCCATCCGTTCTGGAGAAGTCAAGATGGCAGGTAGACCCAGATGCTTTACGGGGAGGGGATCTCTCAGGGAGGTGGAGGCAACTCCACTTTAAACCCAGTTAGGAGGTTGTGTGAATCCACTTTACTAGTTTAGACAAGTTTTAGGGCTCAGCACCAGTTGGTCCTGGATTCGGGGACTTCTGTTTTAACATCCTTTTTCTGTGAAATTTTGGGGCAAAACCACTTCTATGCAAGTGCTTATTTTTTTTGCCTCCCCCCCCCCATTGCCTTTCTTTAAAATGGGTATTTCTTACCTTATTTAGATTTATTATCTAGATTTATTAGCTTACATTTATTTATTTAGAGCAGCCGTCAAGATTTTGGCCATCTTCCACATATGCTCATCAATCCAGAAAGAGATCCAAATCCCTGGAAATTGGAAACTATCCAGCCTTTTCTGCAAAGCATAGGGCAGAGCAATTGGTTAACAGGATTGCAAGCTGTTAAAACAATTTTTTTTTTAAAAAAGCATTCTGATTATAATGATAGCCAGCAATTCCTGAAAGTCAGATTGAAATAAAGTATTTTTTAAGGCTTGTTTCAACATCAGTAGCTGTGGCAAGAAAGCATTTAACCAACCTTGTGTGATCTTGCAAAGGCTAGCGGGGCAGAACTGATTAGTAGTGGGGTGAGTGCCCCCAGGGGAATCCTGAAGCTGTAGGCTGGGAAGATGAAAAAATACTACAGAAGATTGATTGATTTTTGTGCCATCAAATCAGTGTGGACTCTTAGCAACCACATAGATAGGTTTTCTCCAGGAGGATCTCCCCCAGCCTGCTCCTTCAGCTCTTCCAGCATTGCACCCATCGCCTCTGTCATCACATCCACCCACCTCACAGCTGGTCCTCTTCTTCTCTTTCCTTCCACCTTTTCCAGCATCAGGCCTCCTCCAGAGAACTAGATCTTCACGTTGATCAGTTACGTGCCATCAAGTTGGCATCAACTGTTAGTGACCACATAGATAGACCTCCTCTGGGTCAACCTGCCCCCACCCTGGTCCTTCAGATCTTCCAAGGGTGCCCCCATTGCCACTGTAACTCAGTCCCTCCCCCTTGCTGGTGGTCCTCCTCTTCTTCTCTTTCCTTCCACCTTTCCCACCATTATGAACTTCTCAAAGGGAGGTGGGTTTTTGCATTGATTGATTGATTATGTGCTAGCAAGTCAGTGTTGACTGTTAGATAGTCTTTCAGGTCTTCCAAGGGTGCCCCCATCGCCAGTGTGACTGGGTCCATCCACCTTCGGTTGCTCATCCTCTTCTTCTCTTTCCTTCCACCTTCTCCAGCATTATGGACTTCTCCAGAGAAGGCAACAGCAATAATATTGCTAAAAAACCCTTATATTTCTATGGGTAGGGAGAATCTTGAGGGGACTGTTAAATAAGTATGAGATAAATGTTCAGTTAAAATCAGCCAAGGGTCTACATGTTCCCAGCCAAGCAGACCCACACACACACCCCACCCGCTTGAGCCCAACACAAGGAAAATTCATTGAGTGCAAGTACTGTACCACATTTATTTAATTCTAGGACAATGTTCCTCAAAGTAATCTACATTATTGCATGGTATGGGTTTTAGGAAAGATCTTCAAGAAGTGGGGTTAATGAGTTCTTCTAAAGTCCAGTAAGTTCTTGGGGACAAGGCTCCAACATTGGTTCATTTCCTTTCCCAGGTTGTAGCAGACACCAAAGAATTAGTGTCCAGCAAAGTCACCGGAGCCCGAGATGCCGTTTCCAGCACCGTCAGTGGGGCAAAGGATGCTGTGTCCAGTGGAGTGAGCGAGGTGGTGGACATGGCCAAGGGGGCTGTCCAGGGCAGCATGGAGTTGACTCGGTCAGTCGTGGCAGGTGGTGTGAACACCGTTATGGGGTCCAGAGTGGGCGAGATGGTTGTCACCAGTATGGATACAATGCTGGGGAAGTCCGAAGAATTGGTGGACTACTATCTTCCGATGACGGATCAAGAGCTCGGTGAGTGCTAATTTCTGGCCAGGGGTAGGCAGCTTTCCCTCATCCAGATGTGCTCCCCCTCAACCCTCACGCTCATGGCTAGTAGCAAGGACTTGGGGTGGTTCAGAACATCTGGAGAGCTCCAATTTGGTTATCCTGGCAATCCAGGGTTCTGGAAGGACTCCTTAGAGAAGAGTTGATCACCTGGTGTCCTCCAGATGTTGTCACCAGCAGCTCCTCTGTGTCTCACCAAGTATAGCCAGTGGGAGTTGTAATGGGAGTTGTAGTCCAAATTATTGGCAGAGAACCAACCAGCGTGCTTAAGGCAAGTGGTTAAGAATTTGGCTATATCCATATCACACATTTAACCTGATTGCTCAATGCAGCATTTCTCAATCTTGGCAGCCTTTTAAAGTTGGGGGGTTCACCCCCCCACATAACACACACCCCCAGCCTGGTGCGG